GGTGAAGCCTTCCTCCAGTAAACTATTGGGGTGCAACTTTGAACTAAGACCACTCTGGGATTTTGTTGGGACCGAGGTCTTGTGTTGCAGTAAAATAGTTAGGTTTTGGGTGATTTGGAATTGAATGAGCTTTAGTGCATAAGTTCAGAGAAAATAAATGGAAGATTACAGGATGATTTTGTACGTTCATGGTAATTTGAGTTTAATCAACGTCTACCTTATTGTGTATGCATTGTTTGATGAGTTCAAAGGTGCATGGAGGTGACAACATATGAAACATTGTATATATAATTGAATATTTATTATTAAATCTACTTTATTTGATGAGAATATTAACCTTTTATATTGACAAAAGGATGTTACTCATCCTTATGTCTATACATTTCTTCTTCTGGTCTACTGTGGTCATATTAAAGTTCAGATAATGTTGTTATCAGTGATGGAAAAACTATAATATTGTATTCAATTAAATGTGAAAATAACATAATGTTAGAATACAGCATTTTAAGTGAAAGTGCTGCCTTCAAAATTAGATTTAAGGAAAAGTACTAGTCCTTATAAAAAGAAAGCATCCTTAGTTTCTTTAGTATTTAAGTACTTTACAATTTACAATAATACGTTTTTTTTAAGGATTTTTTTCTGATATTGGGCGTGTAATAGTGTAATATTTTGTAAACTGGTCATGGTTTGTATATGAAACCTTTATCTGCAAAGTACCCAACAAAGGACGTCAGATACATGTAGTGGAGTAAGTACAATAATTACGTTTCGATTAGTAGAATGAAATGAAACAAATGCCTTTAAACCACTAGGTCCCTTAAGTAGAGTTATTGAGTAAATGTCAGCTACTGCTGTGACATCTTTACCTCTGAAAACTAACCCAAGTGTCAAAAAAATGTATTAATTAGAGTGTGTCAAAGACGGACACTTCTGCAAGAACAAACTGACTGACACTGGTTTGCTGCAGACAACTTCAAAAATGTCCAAAATCCATGTGCATTCATTATTAAATGAGCACTGCTTTTAAATGTATTACACATTTTGTTTGTGAACATCAAGTTGCTCTCTGAAGGTATTCTGTTGTTTGGCCACATGAGGGCACTTTCACTCTTTTTTGAACACCTTTACGTTAAAACACCTTGATCATTTTTGATACACAGTTTGAGTGCATGTTTAATGTTTCAACGTATTTAAAATTTTATGATTACTATGCTGTGAATATTATTGTGTTTAAGATTTATTAAAAACACAAATTGGGTTTGGTCGAGGAATGATGAGTTACCACACTTAAATAAAGAGTCAAAGAGTCAGATTTAATAGATATGAATCAAAATGATTCATGTTCACACCAACTGCTTTGATGAAGTTCACTGATGTAAAACCTTTATCCTGCAATGAAAATCAATGTCAAACAAAGTTATTACTAAAGTTATTATTATTAAAGTTATTGGCTTTACTTGAATTGAGAGAGTTTGTAAAATCAAACTTTTTGCTGTTCACTCTAACACACTGTCTCGCTGCAAGCCTGTGTGACATTTACAAACAATCAATCATTTAGTGTGCTTTGCTCTCTTTCAGCACAAACAATGAGGAGGACCTGCTGTCACAGTGAAAAATGTCACTGTTTAGTTAAAGCTCTCCTCAAAGTCAACTGAGAACATTGAACGTGCTATAAGGCTGAAATTAGATTTGGAACAGAATAGAATAGAAATTCTGGATCATTTGGGTATAATTTTAATCACACAGTAAAGTAAATGACGATGGACAGATATTTAGACAGTTTACTGTCTGCAGTTTCAATATTTATAATATGAACAACAGCATATCATGGGAAATTACAGTCAAGACTTTGCTCTTCAGTCATACATAATATGTTAATTGAAATGACTTTCTTATGTTGCAGGAACCCAATAACCCAGGATGTCAGTTATCCATAATAATCCACTAATTTTGTTCATGAGAGGTTATCACATAGAGGTTCCAACGTTCATTTCTGTTTGTGTAAGGGTTAGAGAAACAGGATATAGAGTGTTTATTAGTGAGCTTTAGAGGTGTTGGTAGGTGTTGTGTTGGCACTTCTAAGATTAACTCTTCACTGACAGTAAAATATGTTGCGGACACAGTTTCTCACAAAAACGGTTTTGTATCAAAGGGTGCTGAATTGTAAAATGTAAACTTAGCTGATATACAGCAGTATAGTATGTTGTGTGAAAAGCTACTGAAAAACACAGGGACAACCGACCTCTTGGAGGAAAATGGTCAGAATACATCAGGGTGTATTTTCTGCTCTGTTTTGGAGCTGCTGGATCTTACTGCAGCTTTTGACAGCATCCTGATTCAAAGGCTTAGTGGGTGGGTGTTTTTCTGTGTCACTTGCTCCCTACAGGTCTGAAACTGCTGCTGTTTCCTCTGGCATGCCTCAGGCTTCTGTCTTGGGCCCTATATTATTTTCTTTGTGTTTGCTTCCCTAAGGTCACATCATTAGCAAATTTTAAAGGCATCTCTTATCACTGTTATGCTGATTATATCCAGCTGTTTGTCTCTTTTTAAACAGAAGGTGATCCTGCGTTTGAACAGTGTGGGCTCTGAAAAAAACGTTCTTCCTACAGACATATGCTCTGCTGTCTCTGATGATGCCTTTTTAAAGAGGAGGAGTTTTTCCTTGCCACTGTTGCCAAGTAATTGTTCACGTTGCGTCTCTGTACATAATACTGCAAAGTGTACTATCTAAATCTGCTCTATATGAAAAGTGTAATGAGATTACCTCTGCTATGAATTGGCTTTATATAAATAAAATGGAATTGAGTGTTTGTAATCTGTTTTTAAGGTCTATTGTTGCATATGTTTTATTATCGTTTCTTTTACTGTTTTCGTGGTCTTATTTTTAATCATTTTTAATCATTTTACTCTTGTGAAGCAAGCTCTGTGAAAGGTGTTACACTAAATACACGTTACTTACTTACTTGCTAATAAACTTGTAATCTAAAGAGTTGGAAGGATGAAGCAAACAAAAATTTCTGTTTTCAATTTTGGTGTAAATAACACATTAATGGATTTAGCAAGGACCACATGATCAACGGATGCGTTTAAATTATTTACTGATGAAACAAAAGCCTGTGTGCTGAGGCTGAGACTCACTGTACAGCTTTGGTTTGTTGTGGAGAAGCTTCAGTGGGCTGTAGCACCCAGGCAGAGTGGAAAAAGAGGGGTGAGGTGCTCTTGAAACTCCATTTGATAACTCCAAATATAAAATAAGATAAATAATATATAATATTTGTGCAAAAAAGTGCAACTTTGTGGATATGCTGCTTGGGTGTAATAAAGAGAATAATAATATACATGCTCACAGTAATCATGAACAGAATGAGCCTGTTGGAGACTTAGCTCCTGTCTGGTGATTGTAGAGGCTGCAAGCACTCAGTGAGTAGCAGGACTAGTCAAGCAAGGTGACAGCTCTTGGGACGAAGCTGCTGAGGTGAAAGGATGGTCTCACTGAGCGAGCGAAGGGAGGGGTTTAGAACAGATGGTTACCTGGGAGGGCAGGGTCACTGGCAATCCTTGCTGCTCTTTCATTAGCAGCTGTGTCATGCACGTCTTTAATGGAAGGGGAAGCTGACAGGTAGCAACCACGCTTGGAAGTGTTGGTAACAAGCTGGAGTTTGTTCTCACATTATAGGATGGCAGAAATATTTCAAACTGAAAAGGTGCCTTACGGTGATGAAAAATTTAGACCTGGGCTGGTTGTGACGTTCTGTCAAATGAAATACCTCCTTTTTGTTTGCTGTGAATCTGTTGAAATCTGCAATGCTGATTTTCCAGAGGGGTTCTGTTAGAATTTGATCCTAATTGTTCAAGTTTAAAATGCTTCAAAAGCTATGCAGTCAAGTGATAAGTCATGTCCTTCAGATGACAATACAAGTGCCAGAAGTGTTTGTCTTGTGTTTGTAGAGATATTTCACTAAAAAACACAAATGTCAACCTCGTGGTGGCGCTAGAGGAAAAGTAAAGGGATCACCAAAGTCAGTAGGATTTTGAATATCTGAACCAAATTTTGCAGCAATCCTTCCAGTTGTTGTTGAGCTGTTTCGTTCTAAACCGACCAACAGACCACAATTACACCACTAGTCTAGCTTAAAATACTAAACATCAAAGGACTCCCACCAGGGTTGGCTCAAGACGTTTTGAAGCCCTAAGCAGAATTTCATGGCACAGATGTCCCTTTTCTTTTGATATCATATTACACGTGTGAGCCATGTGCCGTGCTCATTAGTATTTCCATTGCATCCTCACAGCAGTTGGTCACTGCATTGAAGAATGTCTGATACTGGAAGTTGTTGCGGGAGGGATGGATATAGGAAAAACATACTGCAGCATACGTCCTCAAGGTCATGTTACAACAATTCCCTCTATGGATTTTGTGGTAATAAAATAAAAAGCTGTGCATCAATGATTTTCTCTAAGGAAATGTTATTTTAATGCTTTACCACATCAGGAGGACACCACTGTTTATTCAGTTGTCCCTTTGACATTTTAGACTGACCTACACTGTTACTGAGAATTTTAATTCAAGTGAAGAAAACTATGACTTTAAAATTGTGTCTACTAAATAAATGTTTAAGAATTTTAAATAAAACCAAATTATTATATGTTCAGTCCTGGGCTAAGAATGATTTATTGTTAATTTACCATCAATCAGGAAACTTATAAAGGTTTTAAACTGAATTAGAACATGACAAACAGGCATATTATGTAATAATTCACACTATCTAGCTGTAAATGGAAAATAAATGAGAACATTAAACAAATTGTTAAAGTCAGATTGATTAAAATCAATAGCTGATTATTTGCTCAAAGTAAAGCACTTTTTGACAAAAATATCTTAACTCAAAAGCAACTTACTAACTTTTCCTGAAGTTCTCAAGTATGAAGTTGACAGTTGTCTCTGTGAGGAGAGAGGTAAAAGTCAGTAATGAATCTGAAAATAATAAACAAGTATTTAACGATAACACTGTTGACCATGAGTGTTTATTAGATTTAGACTTGAAAGGAATACAGTGATTGCGTCAAGGTGGTGGGAAAAACAGTTAACGTCTGGAAAATGATCGCTGCTGCAGAGTTAAACACCAATATATGATATTTCACTTAGTTACCCTGCCATCTGTAAGTAAGTACCGCCTTACTCTTTCATCCCAAATATGATAAAGTGTGTAAAAAAGGAGTTCATAAATCAGTAACTTCAGGTTGAACAAACTGATATCTTCTCAAATAAACAGTTTGCAGTGGCTTGTGTACAGAGTATAATGGTGACAGAAAAATAAGCCTCATTAGTTGTAGCTTTGAGTGGTGTCCCAGACTCATCATCAGCAATACATAGCCCTTAACAGTGAGGTAATAAAGGTAAACAAAGGCTTTGACATCAGCCATTTCACATGAAATATTAAACATTAGAAAATGAACAAGCTATGAACACTTTTTGCGTCATTAGGTGATGCCATTTTTAGACATTTAACCAGAAAGGTGAATACCAAGAAATCATAAACTTTCGACAACTGAATGTCTCAGTATGCTTTTTTTTACCGTAATAATGGCTATTACTTTTATATTAGTTTTTTTTTTTTTGCAATCAGGTGTAACCATAGCTCTTCAAGGTGATTTAGCACTTGTTTACATCAAGCTAATTACATAAAACTACAAAATACTTTTATTTTATCACTGTCTAGTGAACTTTTTTGCTTCCAGTAAATACAGCATTATTATACAAAAAAAAGAAGGTGTTAACATTTGTAGCCTTCCTGTGTTCTTTGAGCTGCTTGATTTTACAATAATTACTACAAAAAAAAAAGGAATCAAAAAATGATGTGATAGTTTTTCCGGAGGTGACATGTTAACCTTTGCCGGCAGCAATATTACAGTGAACTGCGTGTGTCACATTAACGGAGTGGTGTTTTCACAAGGGGTCACTTGATAAAAGGGGTCAGTACGATGAGGACTATAAGTAACAAACTCAGACTGCTTGTCCAAAAAAAGCTGCAGCCGTCCTCTCTAGTCATCTCCGCAGAAAGGAGTCCAATCTGACACAAACACCAGCATCTGATACGTCCAAAGTTCCAGCACAGGTTGACAAAGTCCCCACTGGCCCAACATTACACAGGTATTACAGCCCACCTGCAGGTGATTTAAACAGTGGATAGAGCTTCAATTCATGACTTGTAAATCCACTTGAACAAGAAATGCAAACAACTACGCCGCTTTATTTCTCTCAGAGCAGGTCAGAAGGACACAATTAAGTCCCAGAGTGAGTGTCAGGAGGTCGCTGCTGTAACGTCTCATCTATGGTGACCACCGTCTCCTCCGGTCTGTTGGCGCTCAGGCAGTTAGTGTGGTTCAGGGATATGTAGCTCATTTCAACCAGCCGGGGCATCTCACCCAACTCACTCATCTCGTTCATGTTGTTGGTGATGCAGTTTATCTCAGTCTTGTTGCGGTTAGTGGTAACTCGACGAGAGCCAAACACCCACTCTGAAGAGAGACAAAGGCATAATAGCAATATTACTCTAGAAGCCAGCACAGATGAAGATAGGGTGACCAGATGAGAATAGGTGAAATGCGGGACAGGGGAGTTGGGGTTGGGCGTGGCCTCCAGTAGCAATCCATAACCATGAAAGTCAAAACTCAGCGCTTAAATTAATAATTTTTGTTCATTGAATCTTCTCATTAGGAAAAAAACTGTCCTTAGAAAAGTCTAGTCAAGTTGTATGTAACGCTGTAAATTACGGAGCCCCTGAAGTCATGTAAGGTTATATTTTTTATCTTGGACGCACAAGTAATGGTGGTGGTGATGGTGCAGTGGATAAGACGCATGTAAGTAAGTAAGTAGTAAGTAAGTATGTAAATAAAGTTTATTTGTATAACACCTTTCACAGATAAAAATCGCAAAGTGCTTCACAATAAAATGTAATACAATACAACAAAGTAAAATACAGTGCACAAGAAATTTTAAATACAAATGGAAAACATAGAACAAACTTGTGGGAACAAGAAAATAATGTAGTTATTAGCTTGATAATTATCTTGTTCCCACAAGATAATAACTTGTCCGCACAAGATAAAACAATCATCTTATGGGACTTCAGGGTCTCTGGAGTAAATCATTATCTGTTACATACAATTTATTATATTTTATTCATTTCATCACATCTGTCTGCACAACACGCTTGTCAGAACTCTCCTTCTCCGTGGCTTCCTGCAGCTACACTTCCTCTGTGGTTGCAACTGTAACTCACACACTGTAACTCTCGCCTTGTTATATTTCTGACCTTTTAGTCCCATACACACCAGCACGTACCTTGAGATCCTCGGGCAGAGGTCTGTTGTCTGTTCCAGAGTCTCGACTGAAAACTAAAGGGGACAGAGCGTTTGCTGTCAGGGCCCCGAGGCTCTGGAACAGCCTGCCCGAGGAAATCAGGTCGGCTGAGTCAGTGAACTCTTTTAAGTCCCTTCTTAAAACATACTTTTATGGGAGAGCTTTTCCCGATCTTATTTGACTTTATTTTATCCCTTTTATTTGATTCTATTTTACTAACTTTATATTTATCTTAAATGTGTATTTTAGTCTTTTCTTTTCTTTATCTTGTATTTTACTAATTTTATATAAATTTTCATGCTCTTATCTTTTTTTGTATTATTCTTTACACTTGTTAAAGCACTTTGTAACTTGTTTTTGAAAAGTGCTCTACAAATAAGGATTATTATTATTATTATTATTATCTACACATCAGTCCGTGCTGCAGCCAATGGAGAGTAGGACCAGTTCCCATCTGTGGGCAACACCAAAAACATGTTTTACAATTATCAGTATGTAATGTTTTATTAGGTTTTAACTAATTGAACCTTATGTTTAGTCTAATTTTAAGGACAAACAGGACAGAATTCAGGACAACTACTATAATTCGGTCCCAGCCTGGTCACCATAGGTGGAGATCATTGTTTCAGTTAGCGAAATGGATATCTTAGTAAAGTAAATGTACGCAAGTTGTTAATGCACTAACCCTACTTAAAATAATTAGTACAGTTAGTAGTTACACATACTGACAAGCTGCAAAAACTTTTACATCACACAAAATATCAGCAACATAACTTTCGTGTCCTCTATGATAGCTCATGGGGAGCTCTGATAAACCCACTGTACACCACCTGCCCTAGCTGCTAAAGTGCCGGGTGTTTTTCTCAGGGGTTGGTGGAGGCAAAACCAGAGCTAAAAAGGGAAGATAATGTTGCAAATAGGCCACTAACAAATTAGTAATAGCAACTTTAAAAAGTAGGTGTAGCTCTTCTGACCCTGGGTGGCCAAACAAATGTCTTAAAGCAGCTGAGAGTATTTTCCATTTTGGAGATATTCTTTTTTTCCAGCACTCACAGTAAACATGCCATAAGCTCATAAATGATTTTCATTCTTTCTTTGCTTCTTTCTGTACTTTTTTTCTTGGTTACCTTTGTTTAAGTCTTCTCTCTTTCTTTCCTTGCTTTCATCTCTTTCCCTTCTTTAATTGGACCTTTAAAAAATGTATTTATCAGGAACCATGTGCAAAAAAGAATCTTAAGCAAAAAGAAGAGATTTAACTAGGGCTGCTACATAACAATTATCTTAATTTTTGATTTATCCTCAGGCTACAAAATATTTTTTGTCTATAAAATAACAGAAATGTGATGAATAAATAATGATCATCACAATTGACCAAAATCCACCAAAATCCAAGTTTTTATTTTTTTTTTGTCCAACCAACCAAGTTCAAACCCCCAAATTATTCAACCCACAATACAACCAAGAAGAAAACACTCACATTTAGGTAGCGATTATTAGCTATTATGTTCGGCATTTAATTTTCTGTCAGTTGAATAATAATTTCAGTTTTAGCTTAAACAACATTCAGTCTACAGGCACTGGGCAGCTAAACTCAAACACTACAAAATAATTTCCTGTCTTATAGATTAAAAAACTGAAAATCCTCAAAATTCATGTGCAAAATGCTATTTTAATTTTCCTTCTAATCGTTGTTTTTCACTTACAGGTAAAAACCTGAATGCTGGACTGTTTACAGGCAAGACCGTGGTTTTACTACTTTTCTTTAAATAAAGTAATTTTGAACTGTTTCCACCACCATTTTATGACAAAGCTTCACAGATGCAGCCGGGAGTGGAGGTATAAAGCGCGACCACGTACATCCTGCAACATTCATGCATGAGGCAAAAACAAGCAGGCCAAGTATTTAGTACGTGCACAGAACAAGGCTGCAAACTTCATCTGACAGAAAGTTATGATGGGTTCAGCCTCTGTAATTCCATTAGAGGCAAAGCACCATAAAATTGTTTCTAGGGTAGATGGCTGCAGCACAGAAGCCCCGTCATGTGTGGTGGAGCCTTTTTGAATTGGGACACATCAATCATTGTTCTGTCAGATGAGGAGCTGAGATTAGGGCTGACAGTTGTGACTGCGAAGAACAGACAGAAGGCAGAACGGACCCACAGAACTGCGATACATGACCACAAGGGTGTAATTTTACACTCAGGAGGGGTTTGTCTCCCTCACTTTTGTTTCAGGTTGATTTTCTGACTCAACTTACTGTCCAGCTGCTGTATGCGTTGTGAGCAAAGAGAGGAGTTGATAAAAATGTCGATACACTTATATGAGCTTCATGAACAGCAATGAGTCGTGTGACTTTTGTACACTGGCTCTACTTATTGCCTGAAAGGAATACCTGCAGACACTACTTAGGGCTCAAAAAAGGATTTGCAAACTCTGATTGTTTTGGGGGGTAAAAAAACCCATTGAATCAATATTAACTGTAAACTAAACAGTTAATATTGTCCTGAAACAATGCTAGAAGTGAACCTCAGACCAAAATAAGACAGGAAAGCACAGTTATTTTGTAGTATATATACAAATAATACAATTACCCATCATCAAGTTTCAGTTATCTATAAAGAAAACTGAAAATGATTTGAAGTAGGGTTACAATACAGATGGAAAAACACAGTCAAACAAATTGCATCACAACTTGATTTTGTTTAGTTAGTTCAAATGTTTTGTTGTTTTATTTTTACCTAAATGCTTAACGCTTCTGTGATTATTACTTCTATTACTTCTACTTGTGGATAACTACCACCACTACTACTATTACTACAACTAATGATATTAATGACAAAAATTTTAAGACCAGAATAATATGTTTTTAAAGGACAATTCTGATTTTCAAGGAAGGTTAAAATCAAGGACTTGGGTAAAGTCCAGTTGTCCATGAGTTTAACCTGACAGATTATGAACAAGTCAACAGTTAAAACAGATTAACTAAACCACTGTTTTGGAAAGTAAAACTAAAGTGAGAGCACTTAAATGTTGGTAATAACCTCTTATTTCACAGGAAAACTGTGTGCACATGTTCCTAGATCTCAGCAGTTAACTTGATGATTATAAAGTTATTATTATTATTATTGTTAGAAATGAGTTGCACGGACTATGGAAATAGTTGCTATAAATGTGTCCATTTTCCATTGTTTTGTCCTTATGTATGGGCTCTATAGTGTCTACAACAGCCTGTTTTATTTTTTGATGTTGCACCCTGTCACAAGAGTGAAGCATCTTGCTGTGACCAGCAACTTGACAGTGTCTTTTCAACCTTCCTCTTGTGAGAAATAAAACACACATTCTCCACATTTACACCTCAGCAAAATGCCCAGAAGCCCAAACACCGTGTCTCCTGGGTGTTTGTGTAAATGTGTATGTGTGAGTTTTCATATGACAGTGGGAAGGTCAGGTGAGATGAAGGTAGACTGACCTGCTGACCCACTGAAGGGGTGAGGGGTGGTCAGCATGTCTCTGTGGCAAAGCTAAGTGCAACAGACTGTGACCCGTGTGAGCTGTGTTTTTTTTTTACCTGGTTCACTGGTTTCACCGCCGTCACCTTCAGCAACGATCGGCCTGCCTCCGCCTACATGCATGGAGCAAGTGAACAAGCATGTTAGTCTGTGTCTTGTAAAATAATAAGGACAGGTTTGATAATGTGACTGAACAGAGACAAAGATACAGTGATGTAGAGGTCCCAGTGCAGGCCTTGCTCAAGCCTTTCTCAGGCTTTATGCAAGATGTGGCACCTACCCCCAGGTAAAATATAAAGTGGATTTAAGTTTAAAGTAATCCATGGTTAGGGTTAACCCGCCTAAACCTGCTGTGTTTTTGTCCTACCCAGAGTCAGATTCCTGATCAGAGCCACGGTAAATCACCTCGGTAGGCTACTTTGCTCCCTCTCGTCAAACTTTCATAGCTGTGTTCACATCACTGGGTGGCAGCTGAGCCCATTTAAATTGCTAACTTAGCTGACTAGCTCATGGCAGTTAGCAGCAGGTATGACCCTCTATTTTTTGGGAGTAGGAATTTGAATCTCAATACTTAGACATTGTAGAGACAACCCCTGAGTTTGTTACATGGCCCCAAAACTTGGTATTAGTCATAATCTCAAAACTGGCAAAAGCATCCCCAAAATGAAAAACCGAAAATTTCTTGTTGTGCCTCAAATCCCGAAATCTGATGTAACCCCCCGAAAATGTTCTAATGTCTTAATTCATTAAAGCACCCCAAAATCCAAGGTTTGGTATTACACCTGCCACATTTTGTCACGAAACCCAAAAACAAAAACCCCAAATTTTCTAGAATTTTTGCTCCTAAATTTCTATTTTTTTTATCACACTCTCAGCATTTCTCCTCAAATATAGCTGGCGACATTGTGGCACTATTAAAATTCAAGGAGTATGCCTTTGAATACATTAAATTATGATAACAAAATGTATCCAGCGCATTTTCCCCTGGTGGTTAAGCCCCCCCTGCAGCTGCCTAGATGGATCCTGTCCTGATTTACCCCTGGTGAGACATTACTGAAATCTTCTATTTTACCTTAACTCACCTGATGAGCTGACTTCCAGGTCAAGTCAGAATTATGAGACTAAGCGTGTCTTTAAAATAGTCATTCATTATGTATCGCTCGCAGGACAAAAAACTGCAAACCTCCTCTCCATTTCTCATACTGACACTTCCTGACAGTGTAGTTTGTCAGGACGTCTTTCTCACAAGGTCATTGGCTTATATGAGTAGAGCTACTGTACATCTGCATTAAAATGACTTGGGATTCTTTTGGGAGGGATGCCAAAATCCTTTCCACAGTTTACTGGTTGCAGTTTACCCAAACAACTGCCATTGTGCATATTCAATTAATAAAGAACATGTCTGTTGCTATTTCAGGGAGCCCCCAAACCACTTCATTCATCTATTAATTAAGCTGTTTGTATTCTGTGTTGTCAGTTTCATTTTCACTAAAGCATTTTTCTTGAAACAGTGACTCTCAAAGTGGGCTCCAGGAGGGGTCCTTAAATGGGTACCAGGGGTCAAAAATAAAAATTGGGAGAAGGTTAAGGTCACTAATATTTTTACAAGTTAGGCTACTCCAAAATATTTAGTCCTGATTTTATACTTTTACCACCTTTTCTTCACAGTAATTCCAGTTCTTCCCATGTTCCTTTTAGTAATCCCTGTGCAAATGTATGCACACACTTACTTACTTACACACACACACACACACACACACACACACACACACACACACACACAAAGGGATCACATACCGACAAATTCATTGACCACGTCTTTCACCAGGTGTCCAACAATCGCATAAGCCACCGCCACCACCACCAGCGCAGCCATGACCAGGTAGAGAACCGCTTTGGGCAGCGGGATGGGGTCTCGTGCAGGTGTCCGGTAGTCCGTGTACAGCAGGTCACTCTCCGAGTAAGAGTACTGAAAGATGTGCTCCATGCCCGAGGTATGGTTGGAGTTGAGAGGCGGTTTACTTGCGCTCATGGCGCTGTCCGGCTGCAGAGCTGTCACCATGGTGGTCGTCACATCCTCCGCTTTGTCCATGTTGACCAAGCCTGTAGTTTTATTCATCAGAGGCAATATCTGAGACAGAAAATAGCTCCAGTCCTTTATGGCACTCGTGTTGCATAAAAACATTGTTTCTATACCATGCAATCACCACAAGTAGGGTTGAATTTGTCACCAAAGCGCGAACAATCCGCTGAAGACGCACAGAATGACCAGATTCTCCCAACTTGTCGTCCTTGAAAGTAACAGTTTTTTTATAATCCAACAGGTTCCCTCTGATGCATAAGTGTCCGTCTGACAGAAGCTCATCAGTGCCTCTGAAAACTTATCCAGCTTTCATTAACGAAACGCCCAACGCGTCATTCATTGACGGGCTGCGCGGCTTTTACGCACAAATAAGAATGAATTTTGTGCGTCCAATCTTTGGTTTATTCCAAAAGAGAAATAAAAACAACACAGCGGTAAAGTACAACAGTGTCATCCAGCGAAAGAAAGGTGTCAGAAAATAGGTCAGCCTTCTCCCCCCGACCTTAAAAGCGTGTAAATGTTGGATGAAGGAGACAAGAATCTGTCACCGTAGACCCGGCGTCCCCGCGGCTCTCACATGCAGGAGTCACGACGCATCCTCTGCTGCTCTCAGAGGTGTCCGGAGCTGAAATGTGCGGCAGGGAGACCAGGTACACTGGGGCCACTTGATCGCCCTTCCTGTCCACTTCACGTGCGGCGATGTTCTTCGGACTATGCGGCCTGAGGTGAGTTCATGTCTTTACCACAAGCTGGTGTTTCAGACCTCACAGCGTTGTTTCTCTGCTCAGAAATGAACAAATCCAATGAATGGTGAGGTGATTTAAAATGAGCCCCAGCGGAGTAAGAGGAGAGAGATGGAGCTCTGTGACCGGACAGGCTGTTGTCTGTCAGTGCCTATAGCTAAGTTTAAATCGGATAAAGCCTCAGGAACTTACACAAAGGTAAAACTAGACCTAGTAAAAATTTTAATTAGCACAAAGAAAAGTGAAATGCTGTAAAAAACAAAAACACAAAAAATAAACTAAAGTTACCCTCCAAGTGAACCCAAATCATTAATAATAATAAATATAATAAAACACACAAAAAAGAAATTTAAGTAATTTAGCTTGTGGGAGGGAGGGTCTTGGTAAGAATACAGCTCAAAAATAGATCTGATTGGCGGGACAAAATTAGTAGCAGTGGAGAGATGTGCGTAAATCTCTCAGTGTGTGACTGATAATGTACAATATATTGATTTAAACAGTTATTTTTCAAATTCAGCTGCATGAAAGAAAATCTGTCACGCACTAAATTAGAAATTTAACCTGTTTCCTAAGGTGGGACCCCGGTAGAGATGCAACCGGAAACACTTAATTTTCTGTCTGTCATCTTTGTTTGGGTCAAGTTGAGATGATCTTTGTGAAATGACTTGAAACTCAATTAACTGTGGCTACACTGGAGGTAATGTTTTTTTCTATGTAGGACAGAGGAGTTGTTGAGATGTATGTCCATGTCTAAAAAAAAAAAAAATATTGTATTCAAAATTTGGTTGTCACAAAAAACCTGATAGTCTTCCATTTATTTCCTGAAGCAGGCAAAAAATTGGTGTGTAGACAGTGTGGACAGTGAACCAGTAGAAAACTATCTGAACACATGTGTGTTTTGATCTGAGTGCTATCAGTTATCTCTGATATTCCCTCTACCTCTGGGGATCTGAAGACTGCGTGTTTCTCCCTTCCTTCCCTTTTTCCTGGGAAGATGAACTAGACTCAATTAAGATCACATCAGCCGTTCAAAGATCGGCTCAGAGGAAATGTATTAGACTCACTGACCCTTAAATCAATCATGGCATCCAGTGAGTCACTGCAGACGCAACTGTGGCCTTCAGAGGTTCAGCTGTCAGAACAGAAGGAGATTTTCAACTTTGTCCATCAACAGTCTCAAAATGGACGTCATCTTCTTTGTTCACTGGTGCAATATGTGATAAAGGTGCAATGTAGACTCAAACAAGATGAGCACGGACACAAACTGGAAAACAATGGTCAACTCTAAATTCACATGCACCCTCAATGAATGTATCTGTCACAATGTGTATTTGGTGATCACTGTGCCTTAAATTCCTGCTGGGATTGACTGAGACATGTCAGTCTACTACATGTTAAAGCCTGACTGATCATAACTTGTGCTTTTTTCAAGACTTAAGGTAATCAGGTAGGCAGAGACAATCCAACCATGCTGTCCAAAATGCCACAGAGCATTACATAAGCCAGATTTCCATTCAAATGTATCCCACATTTTAACCAAATTTGGAGAAAATTGGCAAAACAAAAATATGAGATAAGCAGTAGGTCGCACCAATTCTCCTGTTGGGTGCAATTAAACCATTGCAGAAGAAGAGGGCGCAATAAGATGATGTAATGTAATTGAAAGAGTGCAAGTCAAACCTCAAACGGCAAAACAAATGTTGAAAACACGATGGAAATATGACATTAGAATCAGAATGAATGAATGCATGAATTTTTTTTTTATACATACGAGGAATTTGCTTTAAAGATAAGGTGCTACGCGTAGACAAACATACAGTTGACATAAATAAATGTAGAAATATATAAATATGTAATAAACAGACGCAAGTTATAAGAGAATAATCAATGGGGAATAATACAACTATGAGCAGAGAAAGACAGCGTGGCAGATATTTACACGCGCATTACTCCGGGTTTGTGTTGTGCAGACGTATTGCAGCAGGAGAGGATATTGTAATTATGTTTGAGGAGCGTTTCAGTCACACAGATCTGCTTTTTTTCATCAGTTTGGTATGATGAATGGCTCTAAACACTGGGTTACCCATGATCTTTAGCAGAGTTCTAGCATATTTGCTGCTGTAATCAGGACCCAAGCACGGCACTAAAGCTTTTCAAATTATTTAAATATAACTAAACAAATTCTACGAAGCTCAACCAATATAATTAGAAGACCTCTGATAGGATGTTTGTTACTGTGGTGTTCAGTAGTTGACTTTTGGGCATTATGTGCACAAAAACCTCAGTGGGATAGGTGCTAGATACAAATATCAATGACATATTCCATAGAAAGTTACCCACTTGTTGGAATCAAGCTGTTATTTAGGTTATGTAAAAACATTGTGTTGGCCAGTCACATGTTTTTGTCTGAGGAAGACCAGTGAGTGTGTCTTTGTGTCCATATATTTCACATATTCATGTTTCATGTCTCAGGTCAGAGCAGCATTTGACACATTGTTCTGTCAACAACATGGTGAGCAGAATCAGCTGCCGTCCATGAAACTCTTCATATCAGAGCATTTCCTTCCAAGGTATTTGCTGCTGAAGATATTTTAGTCTAACAATCCACTGGGAATGGGAGAACGGTTAATGCAAAAATTTAAGTCCCCTGAAAGCTTGTTAATTTGTCCCCGGGGCTTTGTGTATGTCTGGCTGCTGTGCGCTCAGGAAAGATTAAAAAAAAAAACTCTCTGCAGATATATTTATAGAAGAGAGATGAGCCAATGTCTAACCTATTATTACGTGAGTAAAGTTAGTCAATAGATCATATAAGATATTATTAGTTATGTACAAAGGTGCATGCAGTATATTTAAGGAATAAACCAAGACAAAGTTGTAGATGATTATCCCATTAATGCCATCATTTACTTAAAGCAGAGCTGTAATGAAGATGCTGACTCTGACAAAAAGTGCCAGATGGAATCAAAAGGATGAAACATTTGTGCACACTAATTACCAGCTAACTGTGAAAGTTTATCTTTCCTCACATTTGTTCACAAAACCACATGTCTAAAATATTTTGTTAGTGCATGCAAAGACACACTGTGGAAAAAACAACTTTATGAGGTTACTTCTTCATAAAAGATTTAGCAAAGTTGATTTCCTGAATATTTTGAAACTTGTGTTGAGTACATTTAAGCAACTACAAGGATTTTTAAACCGGTTATGAAATAACTCTATATGACCTACATATGCAAACGAGTCAATCAGCGAGAAGATTGGCTATTTCTACAAAGTTATTCATGTCACCGGGTCAGATTGCCAAGAAAAACAGACAAACTGGAAGAACCTATGTTTTAATTTCCCGGGCAAAGTTTCGCTAACTTCCTGTTAGCCAGTTAAAAGGAAGCAGGAGATGTTTCTTTAGAGAATTTCACTTTTGTTGTTACATTTTGTGGGAGAGCCGGCCCTAGACCTTCAGGGGCCCTAATAAAAATTTAGTTGGAGGCCCCTCTGACTGTTGTGCATTCTCACCATATACGGCACAGAAACAACATCTCTTTTTTGGTTGCTTACACATGATGAGGGTGCTGGTAGTAACTAGGGATATCACAGGATATCACAGTTAGTTTGGATAAGAGAGAGAGGCGGTCATAAGGGAAGGCCTAAATGTATTGGCCGCTGTTCGCACTGGTTGTCGTATTTTTTGTCAACTCCTTAAACAAAAACATTGTTAGCTAGCTAGCTAGTAGCGCTTCCGGTCAACCCGAGGCGTCACATACACACGCGGCCTGGATGCGTCTCATACACGTATCTGGGGGCAGAGACAGGAGCATCTACAGCTTGTTTCAGACAGAGGCTGAAATGAAGCCAAGACATAGCATCACTAGGAAATGTTGATAATTCCAGATTTCAGAAGTAACCAAATCTGTTAGTTGTAGGCTTACATGTGACCTAGGTGTTTGAGACAACTTTCACTTTGTTTCACCATCGTCTATTATAGTTATTAATCCTATGTAGCCACAAATACATATATTTCCTCAACGCTACGCATTCTGCAAACAGCTATTGTTAAAAAAATAAATTGTGTCTTTCTTTTACTCGCTGCAAAAAACAAATGCACATGCTAGCCAGATCAAAATCTGATCAGATCTGAGACCAGATGGTGGAAACCAGTTTTGTTCACAGCGGCTGCCAGAATCAACCCAAAATTAAAGTTCTTGTAGTTGTTTTATTGTTTTTAAGTTTGAGGTCTGCCTTGTCTGTGTTGGCACATTGCTATGTTTTAGCCGTTACCATCATCAATTGTTGATCATTGAAACCATGAGCAGGAATGCCTACCCCGTCATTCGTGTACTCCTTCATGTGTACACACACAAAAGCCCACTCAGAAAATCATCATCTATATCGCTAATTGTGACTAAATTTTCTCTGTCCATTTACATACAACAACATAAGCAGGTGTGTACATTTCCTCTATTCTTCTTCTTCCGAATTGTTTCTCCAGCTGGGGTAACAGCTGTCTCAGAGCGCGACACTGGAACAGCCTTATTGAAATCAGTGAATAAATGTGAAAATAGCTACATCAAGCACACAAATCAATTTAAGGGAATTATTCTTAGTTTGAGAGAACAATATTCAAAAAATCTCTGTATGATAAAAAGAGGCACCAGGGAGACTGAAACAGAAAAAAAAGAGAAATGGGGGGTATAGAAAGAGAAATTGGAACAGAGCATCCGCTCTATTCCCATGTTAATCAGCAGGGATTGTGACACACGCCTGTGATCAAGTCCTGCTGAATAACAAAGAATCTCTGTCTGTGAAGCTCTGGCTTATCTGGCTGCCTGATGAAAATTACCCCTCATACTGGACTCATATACTTTAATCAGATATGACCCAAGCCAGACAAATGCTCAATTCCACCTCCTCGCTCATCCTTTTTCTGTATCCTCCGTCCCCTCCCTCCATCCTGCAGGCTGA